ACTAAAAGAAACACAAAATGACCACAAGTCAGAAAAAAATGAACAAAAAGATACAAAATGACTAAAAAAAGGAAAAAATGTGAACATGAAAATACTCAAAAAGTTCATAAAAAGACTCAAAATGATGAAAAAAACCCAACAAAAGTACAAACAAGAGTTCTGTCTGGCTTGATTTTTCTCAGTTTCTTTTTACTTTGGTTAAATAAAACAAACAGAGTTTCCTGCTGAGCTTCTCTTTGTTTAAAAGTGACTCATCGGTTCACATGAATTCTGCCGTCGACACGCGACCCGATTAAAAACAGCCTCATTACAGGATCAAACACGTCAATTAAACACTTTGCTGACGTGTTTCTGATTTAATTACACTGAATACAGTCACAGCTTTGTTATTTCTGTGTCTTTACCTGGAGGGTAAATGTTTAGATGTTGCTTTTCTTTTCTTTTAATGCATAAAATAAATCGAGTTAGATGCAATTCTGAGGGATCTGATGTCATCCTACTTGGCTCTGGTACATTTAACAGAGAAACTTTTTACTGCCCTACATGTATTTAGCAGCTTTATTTACTCCTGCACATTAGGGTTTGAAACGCTTTATCATGACATAATGAAAGCAATGAACTGTAGGTAAACAACTGCATCAGTAAAATATGTGACAATAAAACACTCACAGAGCATGTTCTGGTGTTTCATGGATACTTTAACTTTTATTCTTTATGTGCATAATACTCACATACTGTTGCTTGATTAAGATTTGCAGTGATTTAATAGTAACTGAGTATTTTAAACGTTAATATTCCTACTTTTACAAAACCACGACATCATAAAAACTACAATCTTTAGCTTCTTGCATATTTTTATTTTACTATACTTGTACTCGGCAACATTCCAGAGGGAAATACTCTATTTATTTACTACTGTAAACACTAGTAACTTTAAATGTTAAGATTTTAAATAGAGAACATCATGAACTTGATGTATTTTTATAGTTTATTCCAGCCAAATGTAATGAAGACGGTAAACTGATCTTCACATAAATGAGCTCTAAGTGAAAGAAAACATGTTTTATTGCTATTTGTTGTAATAATTAGAGGTCTGAGGACTTCTTTCACTTCTGCGACTGCATCATAAAAAACTGAACTGACTGCGTTTCAGAGGGAAAACTGTATTAGTGTGCTAAATAAAAGCCCTAATTAGTTTAAATTTTATAGTAAAAATATGATCATCAGTTAGAATTTGATGTATTTTTATCGGTCCAAATGTAATTAAGACGGTAAATTCAGCTTTACTCCACAAAAATCGACTCTATTGTTGTTGTAACATAACAAAAATGATAGAAAAATACAAAAGGAGTATTTGTATTGTTGCATGTTTCTGTTTTATGACACTTTTGCTTGATTACATTTTATTAATCCACCAACTATAAGAACCTGCATCTACAAAAATGTGATGAGCTCATAAATGAGGATTTTTCTTTCTAATTTATGCACCAAACTACAATTAAATATATCAGTTTAATCATGTTTTAGTGAAATAAAGTGTGATTTATACACTAATGCATCAGTGATCAAACATTTCACTGCATTTAATAAATGATCTGAGGACTTCCTTGAAGCCGGCATTCCTTCACTAATTTCCTTCTTGGAAAACATCATCGGTTCAGTTTTTCAACTTGACATCACTTAAGAAAAAAAAAAACAACAACCTGTGATTGACAAGTGACCTTGAAACATCATTGGAGGAGGCGGAGCCAAAGCCAGGTGAGTTTCCTTTAAAAAGAAGAGCAGCCGAACACCTGCAGCATCCAGCATCAGACACCTGAACAGCAGGTCAGCTGCTCTCACCTGCTGCTTCACATCACTGAGCGAACCAGCATCATGAAACCAGCCTTCCTCCTCCTCGTCTTCCTCTGGGTGGCGGCCGTCGCTCAGGTAAGTTTGATTTTAACATTTCTGAGCATCAAACGCTGAATTTTCCTGCATTCTGGGGATTTTTGTGGCTTTTCTGCGTCGATTTGTGGCACAAAATTGAGAAGTTAATGCAAAATTTAAAGCAGAAAGGCTCTCAGAGGACTTTCATCCTGCTGATGCTGCACACAGGCACAGATGATTTGGTCTTCTGTCCTGTTTTGTGTCTTTTTTAAATGAGAAATTACTGCTTTAAATGTGCACTAATTCATTTAAATTCATAGAATACAGTTAGATTAATTCTTATTCTGATTGCAATTTTGGCAACACAATTAATCAGAAGTCTCTTAGTGCAAGATTAATGCAAATAAATGCAGAATTAAAGACAAATGCATCTTGTCTCAGTATTTAAAAGGCTCATAGTCCCTGAATCCCAGTGAAATCTTCTTCTCTGACTCGATGTATGATGTTAAACTTGACCTGTGAAAACCCGTCAGTCCTCAATATGTCAACCTGACTGAGTGACAAACAAACCGGCAGCGAATCTGAACTTGCATTTTTGACATAATTCAGCTTTACGAACCCCCTGCAGCCACATTTGTTTGACAGCAACAGGTAGAAAACGTGGCTGAAAATTGTGTAATTGTGCATCTTTGTGTTGCAGGGAACGATAACGGCGGAGGATCAAAACGGTGAGTTAAACAGAAACAGGATTTGTTGGAAGTCAGACTTGATCTTTTCTGTCTGACGTCTGACATGTGAAGGATTTAAAAGTTAAACTGCTGCCTTTTTTCCCCTCAGGAGAGTCTCTGAGCGTCACCGACATCATCTCAAAAGTCAACGAAAACCTAAGTAAGTTTTCCAGTAGCCGACTCTTCTGTCTGGCTAGAATACAGATACTGCAGCTGATAATAAAGAGGATGGAGGAGAGATTTGTCAGCTCTGTGTTCACCTGAGATAAAAGATGACGGGTTGAACATTACATATGAAAGTTTCTGTGTGGTAGCTGCAAAAAAAAAAAGCAAACAGCAGGAAAAAAAAAACCTAATTGGATTACCAGAAAAATAAAAAAGCTGACTGCTATGAACATTGATGAATAACAGACAGTTACCTGCCAACAGTTATGATGACTAGTTAATAAATTAAGAGGTTTTTCAGTGAATAATTCAAAAACATTTGCGTCTTCAGCTGCTACAGGATGAATGTGGGATGTTCATGTTTATATGTATATGCACATGTTTTATTTATTAGTTTCATTGTTCTCATTCCTTCTTATTTCATTTTTCTTTATCCTTATCAGAGTTTAGTTCAATTTTATATGTTTTATTACTTTTATAATTTGTATTACTTCTATTATTTTCATTATTATTATGTTGCTGTTATTGTCACATTGTATTATTATTATTATATTACTATTATTAGAATATTTTATTTTTATTATTATAATTGACTTATTTATCTATTTGTACATGCACATACATTTATACACACATTTTAAACAAATGCTTGTCGGTTTCTAAATGACTTCACTCAAAATGTGCATCAACAAACAGTTTGACAGACAGATGCTAGCTCCCATAATGATGGTTTTCATTGCCTGGTTTGAACTCCACCACGCTGATCTTCTGTCTGTGTGTTGCGCTGCAGCGTCGCCTCTGCTGCACGACGACATCATGATGCCTTCGACCAGGAATGCGGTTCCATGCACATCCAGAGGCTGCAAGTGGAGAAAATACGGACGCTACGTCTACATTCCCATTTATATCTCCTCCTCATACAGTAAGAAACTCAACTCTGACTCTTAAAAGCCACCAACACGAGCTTTGTTTGGTTCAAATACAGACTCCCTTCAGAGGTTGTTAGAGAACACGACACTCTTTGAGCGATGTGCAAAAATACTGTTGTTGTTGTTGTCGTTGTTGTTGTTGTTGGAGTCACTTAAACTAGCAGACAAACACCGAGAAGTCACTTGTGTTCAATCATATGTTTGGATTACATTAAATAAGTAGTTTTTAAAGTAAATACAGTCGAGAAATTTCACTTAAATCAAAATATAAATTCATAGTGCAGCATAAAAATGACATTTTATTCCTTTATTGAATGTTTTGGAACTGCATTTCCCATGATTCCCTGGGATGTTAAAGGTCATAAAGTCAGATAATCGTGGGCTACAAACAGCTTCATAGGTGATTTTTTTTGTTTGTTTGTTTTTAATCTTATTTGTAGCAAGTTGACTCGTTCAGTTTGAATTGAATAAATTAATCTGTGGACAACTACTGTTAGATAGCCAAGTTTCAAACACTCAGAGATGTTATTCATTGTTTTATTAACATTTATTCAGGATAGTAATGATATCCCAATGAAAGTGTAAATTATGAGTCATGACTCTGAGTCCCTTCATTATATTCTAGATAAGTTAAAATAGAATTTTTCTGCAATATCAATTTTTTTTCTTTAAATATTTGAAACGAAGCACGTTGCTGTTCTCTTTTGTGCACAATATGTTACATTTATCCTCCAGAATATATGTTTCATTACCATGAAATCCATGACGAGGAGAGATTTGAGCATTTTAGGCTAATAATTAGCTTCCCAGCCATATTATAAACTAAACTACTGAGAGTTAATAAATGTAAATGTATTATTATTGTCATGCTTCACCCTCATCCTGAAGATTTTAAGGTCACGTGTGAGTTTATTGATTCAGTAACTTTACACCTACTTTCTCTTCATTCTGTGTTAAATTCAGAAGTAAAACCTTTAAGTTGCTTCTCTTCAGTTTGATCTTGTGGCAGAATCAGGAACTGAACATACATACAGTCGTCCTCAAATGTATTCATAGCCTCCCATTAAAGATGGAAAAAAATCAGACAAAAGTAATAATAAATTAAGATTTAATTAAATCATGACATTGGTTTGAATTGTGGTTCAACAGAAATAGAAAAAAAACAAAGCAAACAAGCCTGATGGGACCCGTAAACTAATATTTAGTTGAACAACCCTTTGAGCCAATCACTGCCATCATCAGGTGTTTTCTGTAACTCTCGGTCAGACTTCTGCATCTGTTGACAGGTATTCTGATTTCACTGCTCATCAGCAAAGTGCTCTAATTTGTCTGGGAGAGTTTTTTATTTATTTATTTTTTAAATTATTCTTTTCAACCACAATTCAAAAGCAACATCTTATTTCACTAAATTATAATTTAGCAAATTTTTATTTATTATTACTTTTTTCAGTTTCTAGTTATTTGAGTGACTTTTGTGAATTTTGCCTTTTCTTTTTTAACGTAGCGACGGTAAACCAGCACAGACGCTGTCCGTGGTGCTGAAAGAGGAAAAGCCCTTTAAGCTGTCTCCAGTTTCCCCCAAACAAATCCTTTGTTTTCTCATTGACGGCTGGAAAAACTGGTTTCAGTGTTGAGCATGAACCGTTTAAATAAGAAGTTATGTAATTGCAAAAGCAGACGTGCAGGTTTACAGCATCACAGCGTCTTTGTTCTACAGAAATCCTTCATTCTTTTCATTTCACCTGTTTTATCTGGAATCTGTTATTTCATTGTTGGTTTTTTATCCGTTTTCTGGTCCAGTTCTACATCATTTTATAGACATGAGTCACTTCAACAGTTTCTCTAAGGTTTACACCGAAGGTATAAATAAAGTTTTATTCTATTTTTCTATTTCAGTCCCACAACTGATTTGTGCTTAATCCTCCTCCTTAATGCACCAGGATGGTTCTTATTAACTTTTATGGCTTCATGTGCAAGACAATCATATCTTCTTACAGTGACTGTAAGAAATTTCAAAGGTTAATTGTATTAAAGAAAAAAAACGAAGATCAAACTGAAAGTGAAGAGAAGCAGAAGCTGATTATAAATCAAATCCAAATCAAATCCAGTTTATTGTCATTTTGCTGTACATACACAGTAGTACAGGCACGATGAGAGAGAGCGTCTTCAGGATCCAATAACTTAAATAAATTTAAATAAACAAGTGTTTACATATCTGGATCAGCAATTCAGCATTCTGGCAGCTTGTGGACGGAAGCTGTTCATCAGTCTGGAGGTTCTTCCTTTAATGATGGCAGCAGTTCAAACGGTTTATGGAGAAGGTGTGAGGAGTCCCAGACGATGTTCAGCGTCCTGCTCCTGCAGCGTCTCTAAAGAGGATGAAGGAAGAACTTGTCAGCTCTGTGTTCACCTGAGACAAAAGATGAGACATCAGATATTAAGGCTTCTCCATCTTGCAGGCCGGGCCCAGCGCAGCTTCATCATCAGAGCCCTGCTGACCTTCCACAGAACCACCTGCATCCGCTTCGTGTGGAGGAGGAGACATTACAGCTACCTCTACTTCTTCTCTGGAAGCGGGTAGGAGCTCAGAGACAGCACAAGGCCGGACCTCGTCTCCGCCACGTCGTCATGTTTCTCACTGATGCTGCTCTGTGTTCAGGTGCTGGTCCTACATGGGCCGTCAGGGCGGACGGCAGCTCGTGTCCCTGAGGAGGAACGGCTGTTTGTACACAGGAACCATCCAGCACGAGGTTCTTCACGCTCTCGGCTTCGCCCACGAGCAGGTCCGGTCCGACAGGGACCGATACGTCCGGATCCTCTATCAGAACATCCAGTCAGGTCAGCTGAACCCACAGAAACTTCCATTTCACAGTTTTATATGAGATGATGAGGATGGACGGGTTAGATAAGGAGATGACTTTAGAATACCGTAAATTTAGTTTTTTAACAGAATTTAGTACAAACATGAAATTTTCAACCACATTTTTTAAGGGTAGAAAAAAGTGATCTTAATGAAATCACAGCTTGAATCTGATTGTTGACTGTTTTTTCTAATGAAATCTCCTGTTTGCTTTTACAGTTTATTGTTTTGATAAATTAAGTTCAAATCTGCTGCTGGGTTAAATTCATGTACTTCAGTCTTGTCTGTGGTCACAGAGTTTACATTTGACCCCTAAAATGTTTCTGTAACATCACTTACAAACACTGACGATAATAATCTCCACCCGTTGCGGCTGAATTCACACCTGCACTCACACATTCTGTCCGTTCTTGTTTCCCGTGAAGGTAAACAACACAACTTCCGCAGGCTGCAGACCAACAACCTGTGGACTCGCTACGACTACAACTCCGTCATGCATTACAGCAAGTGAGTGTCTGTGTGAATGTGTGCAGGTTTGTTTTCAGTCAGCAGTTCGGTTCAACCACAGACAGTTTCTTGGTTTTGGTTTTGTTGCAGTTCCACAGCTTCGTATTTTGCTGTTTATTTGTCGAGTGTAGATTTAGGAAGCTTGTTGTTTAAGGTGGAAGACGTGTCAAAGACTTTACTGAAGCAGCAGCACTGATGTCACACAGTGAAAATACTAAAAGTCCTGCATTCAAAATATGACTAAAATAGCAACACTGAAGAAGTGAAGACTCTCTAATATTATATGAAATGAAAAGATACCAGACTAATTAAGCTCAGCTAATCTAAGGCTTTATTCATCCTGCAGGAAGTTCTTGTGCCAGATATTGATCAGAATAATAAAAAAAGAGAGAACGTAGGAAATGCAGTCCCTAAAGGTAGAAAAGCAACAACATAGTGAGTATAGGTGTGATATAGAAGTGAAAATAAGTAAGCTAAATAGAAAAACAGCAAAAAGTAATCCTTAAAATTATTCTAAGGCAATAAGTAATCTCACACATGACAATGAATCATCTGGAAATAAAATAAAAATACCTGAAATATTCTCATTACATAGACATTGCTGAGCAGGAATTGTTGCACATTTATTCAACATATTGCACGTGAAGATGAGATTTTGCATCTGAACAATGAGTTGAAAATGAAATATTGCACATGAAAATTTTATGTTACACTTGATACTGAATTTAAAAAAACGTAAATATTAAGGACAGGTTTTTACAGCATTATATTAAACATAAATCTATATTGTATTGATCGTTGCAGCTCTCTAAACCCAAACTGTTTTCCTTCAGGTACGCTTTCTCTAAGAACGGCCAGCCCACCATCGTCGCCAGGTCCAATCCCAACCTGAACTTTGGCCGAGCAACCTACATGAGCTACAACGACGTCCAGCGCGTCAAGCGGCTTTACAGATGCTGTGAGTACAAACACGGAAAAGTCAAATCAAACTGTGGAAATATAAAAACACTTCTCGCTGCTCACCGGGTTTCACGTTTTCTCCGAAACCAGATTGATGACAGCGAGAAAAAGAGTCGACCTGCGGATGCTTGGACCTGCAGCTCATCAGGATGAAGACCTGGTTCTGTTCCAAAATCCCCTCAGAGCGACAGAAAATGTGCTGTGTGTTTGTTTATACTGTCTGTGATGTAGAGATGCAAAGTTCAGCCTCATTTCCAGGTCAGCTCCTGTTGAATTTGGTGTACTTTTGGTTGAACGTGATTTTTGTTTTTGACCTGACGTCATTATCTGCAAATCAACATGTGAGTTTTTTTTAAGGAGCTTCCTTGAGAAGGAGGCAGAACTTTTTGTCTTTGTTAAAAACAAAAAAAAACTGCAGTCACACCTGATGGTGCAGCGTCTGTTTCTGCAGAGGTCAGACTGCATTTTGATTAGACAACATTTTTTTCAATGTCATAGTTAGATCTTATTAATTACTTTACTGATTTGATGATTACTTTTGTTATCTTTCATTTTCATTTAGGATATTTTGCAATTTCTGATATATGATCAATGAGTTTGCGTTCATTTCTTTATGAACTGAAACATTTGCTCAATAAAATTCTACATTTTCACCTAAAGGAGGCAGCAATCTTTCATTATTTTACAGTTTGTCTGCGTGTTCACAAACTCTAACACAGAACACACCTGATGGCAGCCTTCTGGGATCAAGATTAAGCTTTTTAGAAGTCTCATATTGTGCCCCATCCATCCATNTTTTTTTTAATGTCTTCTGGACTTTCAAACTGTTCCAGATGTAAGAATGCAGCTTAAAAAAAACCACCATCAGACAAAACTTTCCTGTAGAAGAGTTACCAGAGCAGAGATTCAGAAGAAAAAAATGGGGTCATGCAAAGAAAAATTTCAATTTAGTGGCAAAAAGTAACTTAATTGCTTCAACCCAGACACATAATCATCGACTGAATCCGAATACTACTTTTTTTTATCTTAGGAATCTAAAAACAACAACAAAAGTAATCTCTTAACGTTTAAGACACTCTGAGTCCTGTGTTGTTAGACTTGGGGTACCACAAGAGTCTGTACTGGGTCCCCTGTTTTCTCTCTCTGACACCTTTGGACACCTTTGGGTCGAATTTTGTGTTCTTTTCTGATCTCTTTTTGTTGTTATGCAAATAATCTAAACAGCCTTTTTCTTTTCGTGTACCAACATTGTGGAACAGTCGACCTGTTGAAATCAGGTAGACATCTTGCATGGATGTATTTAAAGTAAAGTTGAAGACCCACTTGTTTACTGTTGCGTATGAGGTTTAAATTGTTTGTTTTACTGATGTCCTTTCTAGTGTTTCAGTATGTTTGTATATGTTTTCTGCATTGTTTCGATCTCTATGTCTATATCTTTGATTGGAAGTGCTTTATAAATAAATGTATTATTATTATAATTTCAGATGTTTTCTGGATTAAACAGTCTTTCCACCTTCTTCAACCTTCGACTGTCGCAGCTACTTCTTGCAGTTCTTTGGTTTTGTTGATTTAGCAGCTTGGCCACATTTTTTGGATTGCGTCACTGAGCAATAAATTGCTTTACCAAAAACATTTGGTTTTATGTTCTTCTCTTTGCCAAAGCAGATCTGAGATGTAACCGACTGAATCTGAATATCACTTGATTTTATCTCTTAGAAATCTCTTTAAAAAGTTCAATCTCTCAGTATTTAAAGACGCAGATTATTACTACACCTGGATTAAACAACCTGTTTGCCCGTCACAGCTGGTCTATGCATCTGTTCGCCCTNTAATGTGGCTGATATCAGTGTTTTTACTCCTGAACGGTTAAAATCAGTTATTAAATGCTGAATGATGGCCGATGAAGCTTCAGGACAGAAAAAAAAGCAGACAAGGAGGTTTTTTAAGTCTCAAAAACTACATATTTCAGTTTTGGCGACAGCGTACTTAGAAAGCAAAGTATTCTTCGTCTCCATGATCCAAATGATTCACATCCATTTCTCTGTCTTCGTTTTTTTTTCTTGTTTCTCTCTCTTTGCCGCTCGGCTGTTTATTCGACTCAAGTGACTCATCAGTGAGCAGCGCTGGGACTCGACTCAGCTCTCATCAGGGACACAAAAAAAAAAAAAAGAAAAGCTAAACTAAAATTAGGAGAATTTTTTAGCGCCGGCAGAAAGTGCCTCTCTGCAGAAAGCTTTATTTTGAGAGGCGTCCCTCTCATCTACTGTGCTGCAGGCGTTCACACACTCACACTAGTGTGTACAGATAAACAGCAGTAATCCCCACAGTGTCTGAGTGTGTGTGTGTGTGTGTGTGTGTGTGTGTGTGTGTGTGTGCGTGTGAGCAAGAGGCAGGAAATTTTACAGCTTCCAGTCTCCTGGTAAATATTACATGACTGTTGGGCTCATGTGATCGATGCTTTTCTGGGACACGGTTCCTCAGCAACATGAGAACGGAGCGATTATCTGAGCAGGAGGAACGTCTGATGTGATCAAAAACAAAATAGAAACTGATTTATTGGGAACCATGCGAATCAGTTTGATTTGAATCTTGAACAACTGAAGGTTTGAGATGTTGGCGGTTCATCATCAAAAAAATGACAGTAAATATGTGGTAATAACTGCCCTCTGAGTTTCTATCAAAATCAATCAATCAGACTTTATTCATTATTCAGTTTTCACAAAAATGAAGCAAAGTGTTTTACAGATGAGAGGAATAAAAAAACATCATGCTCTAAATGAAGGACTCTAAACACAACCCTGTAACGCCAACAGACATCATCAGAGGGATGTTTTGTTTTTTTTCCTGATCAACTTGATGTTCACAATCAGACACATTCAGCGCACCGATAATCCACCATGGATCAGTAATTCATGCACTGGATGGAGCAAAAATGATACAAATTCAAACTCAAATATGTAAATTGATGTTTTTTTTTTGTTTGTTTTTTTTTTTAGTTTGTCAGAAGGTTTGATGAACACTCCATTTTCAACAAATTTGAATTTTCTGGCAATTATTTCATGGTTCAGGTTTTACAGGGTGAAGGAACTGAGGAAACGTCCTCCTAAATGACGCCTGCATGAATGAAAATACAATGAAATAAGATGAAATAAAATATGATGAATTATTAAAATAGAAGTCCACTTTCATGAAAACAGAATAAGAAAATAAAAATTCAGTAATTAACAACACATAATATGTAAATAGGCAAATAAGTAGAGAAATCAATGAATGAAATGAGTTCTAACAAGAAAAAATAAATAAAATCCATCAAGTTAAAACACAAATAGAGAAATCAATATATGAAATTTGTTCTAAAGGAGTGAAATAAATTAATAAAAATAAACTAAAGAGATCAGAACCACAGGAGTTTTTACTGTTTATACACTGCACACGTTGCTGCAGCGTTTTTATGGTTTAAGGTGTAAAATGAGCAACAGTTCAGCAGCTGTTCATAATATTACTGCATTTATTGTGGCAAGATTTAACAAATTCAGTGTAAGAAAAAGAACATAAACGCATCTAATTAAAAAAGAACCTGTTGTCATTTTGTCTGTGAATGTGCTGCTGGACTCCAACACTGTGCTGTTATGCTTTTTTCTGACAGAACTCAATTTGAGAACCAAGATACAGGGATTTTGGGACATTGGAGGCAAAACAAATGACAGATTTAACTGGAAGAAAACAGTTTGGATCAAGAATATGCGACAATCTATGTTATTGGAGAGAATATCGTGGTTGTAGTTATCAAACTGGATGTTTTTGAGGGAACCTGGAAACCTGGAATTTAATGATTAAAAGACAGTAAAGTGAACCTTAATTTAAATATTCTTCCTTGTTTTTATAGAAATCAGTACCTTGCTGCTATTTAAAATAATGGAACATTCAAATTGTGTATTTTACATTTGTTTGTGTTGTATTTTGTTGAGTTTAATATCTTACTGTGAAAATCTGTACTTAAATTCAAGGGTAAAATTAAAGACATAACAAAAAAAAGACATGTGTAATTCATAGTTTAATTTTGTACAGTCATGTTAACGGGAGCAGACGTTTTACTGTAGTTTTTACTTTAGTATTTTGGGTATCTGCAGCTCTGCGTCCTGAGTCTGACGAAGCCTGATGCATCCTCCAGCTGCTGGTTTCTTATTGGAGCTCGTATGTAAACGGTCATGTGACGGCGGTCTGTTTAAAGACATGTTGGGCGCGTCGGAAGCGTCTCCAGGTCGGTCTGATGATGTTGGTTAATTTGTCTGCAGGAGGCGGAGACGAGTCTGCAGGCGAGTAGGAAAAAAAGAAGATGAAGAAAAAACACCTTTGTTCTTGTCAAACAGGTGACCTTTAAAGGGAGGTGACTGGGTGTGGAGGCATGATTTATACACAAGAGA